CGAAGTAGACTGAAGTAGTGAAATATAATTAAATTAACATAACTTACTTCTTAAAATGAAAAATTAACTCGTTAATTTCACGTTAATTAAAAAAGAAATCCAGTAAGTTAACAGTAACTTTTAAACTCATGAATTCCCAGCATTGCATAACAGTATTGATTAATTTTGTTTGTTGAATAATTTAAAATGTTATTATTAACAAAATTTTCTATTCAAGTATATTTTTTAAAAATTATTTTTAGTTTTTTGTGTTACTATTTGCGGTTCTTATTTTGAGAACTCTAAATAATTTGGTCGAATAACTTTGAAATCAATTCTAAAGGACTAAATATTATAAAGGTTTTTGAATAGGTAATTTAAACGTTTAACTTGTTTTAGATTCTGAGTGAAACGATGAATGTATTGATTTAACAATAATGTGTGTTTTTTTTTTTATACTTTTAATTTTTAGATACTGAGCGGAGCGATGAATGTATTGGTTTTTTACAATGATGTGTGTTTTTTTTTATATTTTTTTTTGTGTCTGTCATCACGTTTTGGGACAGTAAAAGTGCTTAGATTTTCTTCAATAGTACCTTTTCTGATAGGAAAGTGAATCTAGTTGGTACTTTGGGGGGTCAAAAGTAAAAATTTCCCAGTAGTTTTCACAAGCCGGGAAAAACAACATAAAAACTAAGGAAAAACGGGAATTTTTATGCAAAATCGGTTTTCCAAAAAAAAGATTTTGGTTTTTGGTATAACTTAAAAAAAATGACAGTAGATACATGAAATTTTCACTGGATGTTAATATTCACATTTTCTTTACACGATAACATTTTCAAAATATTTTGATTTATTTTTAACTGTTTAGGGACAATTTCATTTTCCATTTTTTTTTTAGTTTTTTTTCTAAAAATATCAATAAAATTGTATTTGTTGGTTGCGAAAGCTTGAAAATTTAATAGAAGGCTCCTAATATATTGTTTCAAATACAAATGAAAAATATTAAAAATCCTTAGTCACAATTTTTTTTTTATAAGCATTTAAAGTTCAAAAATTGACCAAATATTGAAAAATCACGAAAATTAGCAAATTATTTTGAGTTAAGAATTCGTAAAAATTGTTTTTTTTAAATCTAAGATGTTAAAATGTAATACAAGATTCCTTATAAGATTATCTACCTTTATCAAAAAAAAAATGTCTATAAGAAAGTCAAATTAAATTTTTATGAACGTTTGAAATTCAAATTTTTACAACATTGGATATTCACTCGATTTCTTATGTAGCGATTTCCTTATTTTGTTCTAATTCAAAAACGAACAACTATAGATACATGAAAATTTCACTGCATGTTTAAATTAGCATTTTCTATACACCATAAAATTTTGAAAATATTTTGACACTTGTTGAGCTGTTTACGGACATTTTCAGTTTTCAATTTTTTAATTTTTTTTTTCTATAAATATCAATTAAGTTTTATCTGTTGAGCCAAAAACTGTAAAAATTTAATACATGGCTCCTGATATATTGTTACAATATCAGTTCAAAAACATTGAAAATACATAGGCACAATTTTTTTTATAAGCATTTAAAGATCGAATTTTGACAAAATGTATCAAAATCTCGAAAATTATCAATCATTGTAATTAATAAATTATAAAATGTTCAGTTTTTATAGCTAAGAATTGCAAATTTAAAACAAAGGTTCTCATAAATAGTTCATACTGTAACCAAAAAATCTAAAAAATATATGAACACAGTTATTTTTTACAGACATTTTAAATTCAAATTTGAACGAAATTACATATTAAAAAACCTAGAATAACTATTTTAGTTATTTTGTTGTGATTGTATAATATTATTCGTGGGTACTTGAAACTTCTAAAGGGTGCTATCATATATCTATGATAGTATCATGGTTTTTGTTGGTGTATAACGCGTTATGAGTACCTAATGGATATTGTGATATGATTAATTTGGAATTTATTATTGGTACCTACCTATTATAGATCAATTTTTGTTTAATATCATAGATATGTATATAATATATTATATATATATAATATTATTATATATGATATGTATATTATATTCGGAGAAGTAAAAAAGGCTTTCTGTGCGTAAGTTGAAGAGATTGGGAGAAAAGATAGAACTTTGGTGTTAATAAAGATGTGAAATCAATCTCAAAGTTCTGTGCCAAAAAGGGCCACGGTTGAAAAAATAGAATTTGGGGCTTAATAAAGAAGTGAAATCAATACCTAAATTATGTGCCTCAACTTGAAAAAATATCTTTTTCAAAAAAATTTCGAGATGTTCAACTGTACAAACATTAAAAAAAAATATTAGCACAGAACGGCGTGAATTACAGTTTGTCAACAAAAATTCGAATCAAACAGATTAACTCGTCGACAATTTACGGCTAATTTTATTAATTCATAATTATTGTACGCCGTTCCGTGCTAATATTTTTTTTTAATGTTTGTACAGTTGAACATCTCGAAATTTTTTTGAATAAGATATTTTTTCAAGTTGAGGCACATAATTTGGGTATTGATTTCACTTCTTTATTAAGCCCATCACATCTTATCTTATCATATTCACATCTTTATTAACACCAAAGTTCTATCTTTTCTCCCAATCTCTTCAACTTACGCACAGAAAGCCTTTTTTACTTCTCCGAAGTAGTTTTTTTGAGGATTTCAATTATTTTTCCGAAGCACGTTTTACTGTGATATACTGAGGTTTATCGTTTATATATTATATTATATTTATGGATTACATTTTTTCTAATTATTATTTTTATTTGTGAATAATAATTCTATAAAAATAGAAATACAATATAAATGTTTATAATTATATAATATATAATTATTAATTATAAATTTATATTAATAACACAATTATTTAATAATAATAATTATTATTATAGTATTAAAATAGTAATAATAGGTACATATTTACGTAGCTGTTGTTTTGTAACAATAAATCGCGTAAAATAACGTATGTAATAATGTAAATGCACGAGACCTCGGTATCGCAACAACACGATACGTAAAAAATATTTTATAATATAATAAAAATAAATAATAATTAATAATAATTCTGCAAACGTAAAACTAGCTAGCTGTAAATAGCTATTGTTGTGGGTGAGGTTCGCGGTACGGTATCGGCCGGCGCTTGGCGGTTGCTACGGCGCGGCGTTGGATGACGTTGCTATGACGGACGAAAGAAAAAGACTCACAAAACTGCAGTTTTTAGCTCTGTCTCTCTCGCACTCTGCATTCAACCAATGCGTGCGAGTGAGAGGTCCGAGCGCCGAAACGAAACTTAATGTATAATAGTCTCGCTATCGGTTGTCAAGGTGCTGTTTCTTATCAGTGTTACTTATGCACAGAAAGGAGTCTCTAGCGAGACTCTTCGATATGTCTTATACCTAGACTTACATACCGTCTCCGCTCAAAATCGTTTTTCTTATACAATGATATTATATCGTTGAATTCAAATTTAATATCATCCATTAATCATTATACAGTGACCCACTTGTAACCCACCTTTTTCGACATGCAGTATTATATTATTATTTTATCTATGTAAAATACAATTTTGATTTTTTTTTAAATATTATTTTGTATCAACTATTTGAGTCAATTTGACTATATTATCGTTCAAGCTTTCTACACAATACATATTATTATTTACAATTCTTGTATGGTTTATATAACCGTCCATGTCATATCCGTCAGAGTTATGCGTTATTTTATGATTTATTCCGCAGTCATTCGTCGCCTTTAGTGCTTGATGGCTTGAATATTTCTTGAAACATTATACTCTGTATAAATCGAAAAACGAGTTTTTTTATTTAAAATATATATTTTAATGATTTTTTAGTCGTTAAATCTGTAAAAATTGATTATACACTAAACAAAACGAAAAAAAAGAAACAAATTTTTTTTTTTGTGTTCACAAAATATGTTTATTATAACAAAAAGGCCGCATATAAAAAAATATGACATAGAAAAAAAAACCGAAATTTAAATGTGTGAACAACTTAACAATTTTGAATTTTGAAATGACTTAAATTCAAAGAAAAAAAAATACGACAGACAGGATAGACACAATAAACAAGGGGGGGGAGGATGCGAGATGGCGATTGGTGCAGAAATGCAGTGTTTGCTGGCCACTGGTCACCTCTGCACGTTCTCCGACCAGTCCCGCGGGTTGACGTGAGTTTGCTCGGACGCTTGACGACCTTGCCCAGCCGGCGAGGCCAGACCGAGACGGCCACGGGAGCGACCACGGTTGACGGCGACGGTCGGTGGCTAGTGCGCGATGTCGTGCGCGTACCGACGGTCGACGGCGTGACGACTCAGGCCGACGGACGGCGAAGACCAAGACGCGGAGCGAGCGAAGTGAGATTCTGTGTTGCGGAATCGGTGGGGAGGAGCGAAGCGGCCGACGTGGGATCGACTCTCGGTAATTTTCGCCCTGGCGTTGTCCCTTCGGCCGCCGCGCGCCGCCAGACCCTGAAACTGTTAAGTTTTTGCGAGTCCGGCGTCGTTGACGTCCCCGTGTTCCTAGCACGCAAATCTCGGTACCACTCACCGCGTGCCGAGGTCTCCGCCGCTGCCGTCGTACCGAGTCGCCATCGCCGCCGTACCGAGTCGGTGTACCGTCGGGGCGGAATCGTTGCCCGGTACCTCTATACTAGCCGCCGTGCCGTCGCCGTCCACCGTCGCCGTCGCTCCGCGTGACCGTGACTGCGGGCGCTCGCCAAGCCGCCAGAGGCTCTCGCGCGTCATCGACGATCGAGCTCGCCACGGCAGCTAACCCGTCGCGCCGCGGGTGCAGGTCGGTGAACGTGCGAGGGTGACTTACCGCCGCGCACCGTCCGTGCTCTTTCCCGCGTCCTCCCCTCCATTCCGTCGCCGTCTTCCTGTCTGTCGTCTTCGCCGGGGGGGGGGGGGGCGAGCTTCGGACGCCTCGTCATCGGCAGAAGCAACACAGTCCGCTGAAAAACCGTCTTAAGCTCTTCCACCTCTTTGGAGACGCATCACAGCAGACTGTGAGTGCTTGGGCCGCCGGTCTAACCAACCGACAAGCTCGCCAAAGTTATTCAACGCCGCTTCTCCCCTGATGGGCTGCTCGATCTTTTCATCCGGCACTTCTGGACCCAAAATGGAACGGTCCTCCCCTTCCAAAACTTTGGAATCTCCGTCTTCCCGTACAATGTCTTTGTCGCCGAGCGGGGCTATCGTTGGGATCGGAGCGAGCTCCGACTCTGCAGCAGACGACAGCGCGTCTCCGCCCGGCACACCATCACCGTGCGAGGAGACGATCTCCTCGCCGTCTTCTGCCGACGCCTCTCCCACTGCACCTCCGAGAGTCGAGCCTCCGGGCTCAGACTCCAGGGTCTGAACTTCACCAGTAATGGTGAACGTTTCAATGGCAGATAGGATTGGCGCGACTAGACCAACGAGACCTTCTTCTGTTTTATCAGCAAGAGCTCCTCCTTCCATCTTGTCGGCAAAAATATCCTCCAGTATTTCCATCAATAACACGTTTACCGCAGCGCGGTCGATGTCGCAGTTGTTAGTTGCCATACTTTATGTTTTGAATAACGAAGATAATTTTTGGGTGTACTTTAGGATTCGATCGAGAATTGGAAATGAGCTAAATACGAATCTTTCAACACATAGACCGATCTCCTAGAAAATCTCCCAGACGACAGTTTGTGTTACTAGCCAGCTAGTATGTTAATCGTTCTCGTCGGCCCACAGCATTAGAATTTCGAGCGCGTTAACAATAATAATATAATAACAATTTTATTAAAAACAATTCCCATTTCCAATTATATAATTAATACAGTAGTAAGTTTGCTCACCTCCTATAAGCAAAAGCTTGGGTTGAAGGTGAGAGGTTCTCAAATTAGACATTAAACTTAAATTCGAATAATAACAATAAAGTACAATACAAGATTTACTTAATACAAAATAGAGAGTTAATTTTTCTAAAGACCACTATTATTATTGATATCCAGCGACACGGTCGTAATTAAAACAAAATAATAATAACCGTGCGACGTTGTGTGATGTATATCGAAGCAATAGTTGCCTATTTAAACTGTGTTAAATGCAGGTAATTTTTTTATAAGACATACTGTTGAGTACAGATTGATAAAACACCACCTGAACTATACGGCTTCAAAGACGGTCGACATAGCGGCCTATGATCGGCGGTGTGTCGTCATCGAACCTTGGAACACGCACATCGTTTGAGCTGTGTCTCGTGCGGTTTTGCGCTTTGCGGAGTAATTTCGGTTTTCTTTTTAACTACAATTCACTTATTCAAAACCTGCACTGTTCCTCGATCACCACCATATCCACATTGGACTACATGATATTCAAGCGCTGGTCAACGGGAAGTTGTCGATTGTGGAGGTTTTGCCATTCATTGCCGCCATCAATTATTCATCAAGGGCGTTGTGAGTCGGCTTTACGCCAACACTTATTGTCAAAATATTTATTATTGAATTCGTTATTATTATTATTTAAAAACCATTGTGTCCAAGCTACTAACATAGTTCGTAAGTAGTGCTGTACAAGTTTTATTATTATTTATTATAATTGAGTATTGAAAATATCAATCCAACTTATATATATTACAAGCATTGAATTTATTGATTAGGGACAGTATCGGGTGAAATTTAAATTCATTTATAATATTTATAATAATTATTTATAATATTATGTATTATATACAGTTCGCTAGATAATACAATTGTCGATTATTATAAGACTTATTAATTTCAAAATAAATATAATATATATATACTATATAGGTATATTATCTATATTATAATATATGACTTACCTAGTTTATTATACATATACAATATGTTACATTATAAGAAAATAATCATTGGTTTATTTATTCAAGTATAAACTGTTATAGCTTTCAATCACCTGAAATCTTGTTTGATCCTCTTTCATTCAACATCGAATCGAAGGTATAGGAGTTATCCACAACTTGATACACAGAGCATGCAGTGCTCTCAATTATAAAGAACAAAAAAATATGTACAACAACATCATATTGGCTGGTGGTAATACGATGTTTCAATTTCTACCTATTCGTTTGGAGAAAATGGTAACTGACTTAGTCACATCTTCTACCAGCCTTCAAATCAAAGCGGACCCCGGACGTAAATTGTCCACATGACTTGGTGGTGCCGTATTAGCTTCGATGCCCAGCTATCAGCAAATTTGGATCAGCAAGGAAATGTACGAAGAAAATGGGCCTGCAGCTATAAACGAAAAAAGCTTTATTTGATTGATGTTAATCTATTATAATTTATGATAATCCTAAACGTCTATCAATTTACTAGCTTTCTAACAGTTATTTAAAAATTAAAAAATCGTTAATATTGATGATTAATAACAATTTTCTTTTTACAAACATTGCCGTTATATTGTTTCCTATTCTGTACTATACAGTATACACTCGTTCATACTAAGTTTAAAATATAATACCCGACTTCTAGTCTACGTACACATAGCGTTGCTATATATACCGACAGCATGTATATTTCTTTAACATATATAGGTACCTGGTTAGTAGTTATAATATCTACTATACAATTTATTGTGTGCATGTATTTATGAACACAATGTAATGATGATTTATAATGCAAAACAATTAAATTTGGGTGGAAATTCAAATTGAGACAAATCAGAAGTTTCAATCGGTACCTATGTTTTTAATATTTTAATATGATCAACATCTGTCGTCTGTGATACAAGGTGAGGCGCGTACATCGTAATTCGTAATCATTACTAATTAAAGGATAAGGTCCAGAGGTTCTCAAAAATATCTCAAATAATGTATTAATTTTGTTTGGCGAAAAACGGAAACCCCTGTTCAATTTGGATATTTTAGGAGTGAATAATAAAAACACAGCGATGGATATCAGTATATCACTAACCAAAAGCAAACAAAATGAGGATGAAAATACAAAAAACAAATTTGTTTTGGAAGATGCTATTAAAGATACTAAAGCCAGAGACAAATAAAGTGGTGGGGGTTAGGTGTTCAAACCCCTCCCGGGTTACACATAAGTGTGTAGAATTATTATTATTGGTTATACTATCGGGAATCCTGACTAGGGAAATACCAAAAATATGTCTATTGATCAAGTGAATAGAAGAACAGAAATAGAAAAATATATGTAAATAATGTATATTAGAAAATATACGACACTATAATATAAAATTATCTACTGAAAATAAAATTATTTTTCGAAATATTTAAAGAGACCGGTATATTTTTGTAATATTAAAATATGTATCCCAAATGGTGGAACAGTTTATGTTATACTGTAGATTTAAAGTCTGCAGTTTCTATTCACCCTGTTTTATTTAGCCATTTTAAATTTAAATTAGTATATAATTTATTGTTAAAAAATAAGTAACAATAAAATTGGTATCGTCAATGACAATCAAAATTAAACTTCCAATTTTTAGGTTTTTTTAAATCTGTAGCTAGATAATATTTTAAGTGGCGAGCGTATACATTTTAAAGAGGTAGTGGGACAGGGGGTCATTGGAAAACAATCTAACTTACGTACAAAAATAAGATGTCATTATAAACATATTTAAAACACCCTAATTTCTAAGTCCTAGTAGCACACTTACGCCTATATGTATGCTCTTATATAATATAATCAATAATCATACAAATGCCCTATGGATAAATAAATAACTCAAAAACAAATTTTGAGCGTCTTTTAAATTTTTTTTATATATCATGGTAAAATAAAGGCTGCTCTTAGTCATATATTGTATAATATATGTAAATAATATACATTGGAAAAAAACTGCTTATTTCAAACTAGAAGTACTGACTTTCCAACTATAAGAGGATGTCAGCGCACCATTTGTTTTTGCTCTCTGGTACACCCTCGACATATCAAATTCAAGTTTAGCAAAACCAAATCTAAGTCATTACCAGGCGCGGACTGGCTGGGGGGCTTCATTTGTTTGGGCGAATTACCTTTTTACCAAAATAAACACAGTACCTACCTAATATGTTTGGGCGAGTTTCTTATAAGGTGTTTGAGCGAGTATGATACAATATAAAATATAAAAAGCTGGTAAGTGGTTGTCGATCTGATGTACAGTAGGTTAGAAGTGGGTGATTGTATAATGGATTGTATTAAACTTGAATTCAATGATATAATATCATTGTATAAGAAAAAAATTCTGAGCGGAGACGGTTTGTCAGTCTGGATATTTTATATTGTTATTATTTATTATATCATGTAAGTTGAATTAATATTATAATATTATTATTTTTTATTCGTTTCTATGGTGATAACTGATAAGCAAAGTGTTAGAAATTAAAATCCTATTTTTAGCGGTTTTTAGTAATTTTTCGGTGGTTTTTCCCGTGGCATTAAATAACTATTGATAAAATCGAAAAATGACCTCTTTAATGTACCATCTTTATCCAATTTTCTAAAATATAAGGTACTATAATATGTTGAAATCAAAGCAGTTCTTCTGGTAGATATTTTGTATACAGGATATATAAAAAAAAAAATAAACACCATTGTAAAACCACTAGCTTCCTCGCTCCACTCAGAATCTAATTTTAAGTTTGTTAAGATTAAGATACAAATAATATATAAGTGCAAAGTAAGGCAAAGTGGGGTAACTGTACTTTTTTTTACATCCTTTTAAACTTCCATAAAAAAAAAAAATCAAATTTTTATAAAAAATGTATTATCAATTAACATAACCTATAGATTGTATGAATAAAATTTGAAAGGAAAAAATTGATTTTTAAGTTAATTACAGGTCTTCAGACATTAGCGTCCTCGCTTTGCCCCATGTTCCGCTACGACTTTCAGTGACGCACTGTTAATAAATAGTTCTTTTTAATTAATCAATGCAGATGTTTGAAACATATCTATAACGACTTATCTACTTTAGTACTAGTTCTAGAAATACCATTAGTTTTATTTATCACTCATAAGTGAATTATGTTGGAAACACTTTAAACACTGAGTGTTCCAATAATGACTATACACCTGTCCTTCAATTACTTAAACTTGACACTCTTGCTTTAACAATAGTTAAATTATTGTTCCAACAATGTATATTAAATGTATAATCTGGAAATGTTGAGAAAGCAAATGCACCATGTTGTATTATAAAATAAAACAAAATAAGTCATAACACAGTCTAAGGGAGGTTCTTACAATGTCCGGTAAAGTGTCGGTTAATACTAACCGTCTGATTACCGGCAGAATTCGGCCGGTTAAGTGTCGGTTAACTTTAACCGGACATTGTAAGAACAGCCCTAAGTAGGTTGTTCACAATTAATTTAATCTACACGAAAAATAATTCATAAAGTTTGAAATAGTTCCACATTGGTGAAATTTGAATATTCATTATCATAGGTAAATGCACATATTTGTGTTTTAATATTTAATTATTATATTCTCACCTATAAAATA